TCTTCCGATTACTGGGTTTGTGAGTTGTGCCTTCTGATTCAGCAGGTGGTTTCAGAGGGGGCGATGCAGGTGACATAGCCAGGCACAGCTCCCCTTTCGTGTCGCATGCCACACCATTCCGCCTCAGAGAGGCCCCTGTTCACAGGTGCCATCTCCATGTGCTCAAAAACTTAGCGATTGATTTAACAAACTCATCCTTTAAAATGTAAGCAGCCCTTCTGAATGATTAAAAATGCTCACATTCTATGAATTATTTCATTGCAATTGAATGATTCCACTCCTGTATCACCTCGCAATGCTCTTGGAGCCTAAGAGAAAGAATTGTAGTCTGCAAAATGAAATCATTTTAGAGCATAAAGTACTTGCTTTGAGGGAAGACCTGGGGCAGGAAGGAGGGATGGGGGGAGGAGGGAAAGGATGTGAGAGTATGGGGTTGGACTGGTGAGGGATGGCAAAAGAGGACATTTCAAGGAGGGTTAACTTTGCCTTCCGTTTTCTGCTTGCCCCACTCTCTGCACATCATCATATTCTCTGTCTGACGGCCAGTTGGCAAAGTCGTAAATGGCTTCCATACGGGGTACCCAAAGGGAAGCACCCAAAGGTACCACAAGCAGGCAGGCATTTCCACCAGGTGGAAAGACCAAGGCCCCACTGCCAACCTGGAGGCAGTTCCCCAGACTGTCTGGCATTGCAGATATAAACTGCTGGGAGACTTTGGAGCGAGCCTCTCTCTTTTGGACCTGAGTCAGAGCAGGCCTTGGCTCAACTGGGTTCTGGGGACTCCTGGAAGTCCACAGGAGCCCAGATGGGCGCCTTTGTGTCGTGAGGCACAGCAGTGCAGCCAGAGTGGTTTCAGCTTTCCCACAGAGAGCAGTGCCAGACTGCTTTGTACCTCGTAGAGGTGTTGCAGTGCCGTGGCCGCTTGACAATAATGGAAGTGGTGGCTTACTTCTGCATGGGAAACACAGTGACATCAAAATGTGAAGGAAACAATGCATGACTCTCCTCTCGGAGCTGCTAGACTTGATGTGATGGCCTGTGGGGTCCCTCTGTCCTTTAGTTTATAGTCGCCATCATTGTTGGGGTCTAATGATGGAGCTTCCCTTACATCTGCTGGTTGGCTCTTACCAGATGAAATCTATGGAAACAGCTTGATTTCTACGGTGATCGACAGCTGCAATTGCTCAGACTCCAGTGACATCGAACTGAGTGACGACTGGGCTGCCAAGAAATCTCCCAAAATCTCCAGAGCAAGCAAATCCCCCAAACTCCCAAGGTAATCTCAGTCTTCAGGGGTGTTCTCTGTAACAGAATTCCATCAAAACGTACCGGAAGAGATAGCAAGAGTAGCAACCCAGGCTTTTCTTCTGGAAGGTTCCACCTGGAATAATCACACCTCTTGTCTTTTGCCTTCAGAGTAGAAAAAGATGCCCAATAGGAGGTTTGCCAAACCAGCAGACTTCGGGGTTAGCAATGATGTGGGTAGTGTGGGGTGCCAGTCGCTCCTGCCTTACTTGTTTTCTCTAGCATTTCTCAAACTGGAAGAGAAAACAAGACGGAATGTAATGGGTGGACGCAACTGTTGAAGAGAAAAATTAAATACCTATAGTGCTATAATTAGGAAAATAATAGTAAACTTAAAAAAAAAAAAAGGATCCTAAAGGTTTGTCGTAAAGACAGAAAGGTAAGAGCAGATGGAAGAACACATAGTATTGTAGGCGACAGCACCACTGTCCTCCTCTGGTGCCACCACTGGCTATGTGACCTTAGACAAAAATAATCGGTTTCACTACCTATGGAAGTTACTGAGCAGACCAGATCTTCTCTAAGATCCCTTCTAGCTTTAAAATTCTGTGATGCCATACACAATTAAGGTATAACCTATATCCAGGTAACACACGCCCAAAGCTTCAACACCTAGCTCATTGTACAGTGGGTACACCAGTGTCCCCACCCAGTTCGAGGTAGAGAACGTGTCCCTGGGCCTGGACAGTCCCCATGCTCCTTCCACGCAGTACTCACACCCTGGAAGTAGTCCCTGTTCTGACCCCTGCTCCCATAGATGAGTTTTGCATGTTCTTGAACTTCGTGTAGGAGGAATCAAATGGTGAGCCCTCTTTATCGGGCTTTCCCACGCTCAGCGTAATGAGTCTGAGATTCACCCATGTCACCGTGTTGTGCCAGTAGTTTGCTTCTCTGTGTTGTGCTGCAGTTTTCACTGTAGTAAGCATGCTACGATCCGTTTATCCATCTACCAACTGATGAATGATTGGTAGTTTCAGTTCAGGGCTATAATGAATAAATCACCCATCACATCTTTTCACAAGACTTCTATGATGTACGCGTTCCTTTGTCTTGGGTGTATAATTACCAAGGGAGTGTAGGGTTTTGGGCACAGATGTATGAACTTTATTGGAAACTGCCAAGCAGTGGCCCTAGGAGTCTGTTCCAGGTCCCATTGCCACCGGCGCTGTACGAGCGTGCTGCTGTTTCCGGTCCCACCTACAGCTGTGTGGTCACATGGTTCTAATACGTCCAACGACTGGTGATGCGGGCCCCTTTCTCACGTTCAGTGTCCATTTGGTTGTCATCTTTTATGAAGTGTCTGTTCAAGTTTTGTGCCCATTTTTTACTGGGTTGTTTTTCTCTTTGAGTTGTAAGAGCTCTTTGTGTGTTATAGGTGAGTGCCGTGCCGGGGTGTTGATGGCCACGCAGCCTAGGGTGGAAACCCTCCTTTCGTGTTAGTGCTTGTGCGTCATGTCGAGGAAGACTTTGCCATAAGGCCAGGGCAACGTTCTGTTCTCTTCTGCAGCTCTGCCCTGTCAGCTTACACACGCACATCTCTGGTCGACCTCACATTCAGATGAATGTTTGTGTGTGCTGTGGATTAGGAGTAAACGTCCATTTTTTCCCATGTAGATACCTAGTGGTTCCAGCAAACCAATGGACTCTGTCTTCATCTTTACTCTAAAGCTTGTTCGCATTGCACGTGAAACCACGAACCTCCCTGCACTTCCAGTGTCTGGCTTTTTCTGTTACGTAAGCAGGGGGGACATTGAACCTGTGCTCCCCCAAGTCTCACCAGCGCATGTCCCTCAGAGGTTGCTGTCTCCCCACGTCTGGGCCTCCTGCCCCCCCACGCCTGGCCCTCCTCCCTCGTCTTCCCCTACTTGGAATCCCCTCCAAACAGCGGCCTGGCGAGCTGTCCTGCCTCAGACACCTGACATCAGCTCACTTCCCCCCTCACAGCCTCAGGAGTCCAGAGCTCCCCCTCAGGCCCGGAAGCAGGGTATGGCAAGCTTACTGCATTTTCTTCACGGAGTGTTGTAAACCTTTCAGTATTCATTTTATCACACACTCTGGCCAGGCATAAACTCATGTGTCTCCGTGTCATCAAAACAGGAACTGAGGAATAGGTACAATACGGAATCAAAAGGCAACAGGGTAACTTTAGAGTCACTGTTTAGATTTATGAGGTCATCCAGAAAGTCATGACATATTTCTCTGTTTTTCTGTGCAAAAAATGTGTCATGACTTTCCTACCGACCAGATAAATGTTGTAGGCAGTGAGATGCTAGGTAAATTTGCTGAAATCCAAACTGGTGTCGAGGAATTGAAAAGATTCTCCTGGCCCTGTGGTGAGAAGTTACTCCTCCCACCTGCCTCTCTCTCTAGCTCTGTTGGCAGAAGGCATGGGGCGCCTCTAGGCTGTAAGTCAGCGGAAAGTGAAAGACGGTTAGCTGAGTTCCTTGCAAATGAATCACTCAATCTAATCTCAGTATATTTAAAAAGATATATGAGGGGATTTCTAAAAGTTTGTGGGAAGATGGAATTAAAATATGAGTATTTTGGTACAAAACAACTTGAAACTCATGCAGTTTTTTCTTACCACACATTTTCTGTCAACTTTCGCAGACCCCTCAGATTACATGGCACGCAGTCGTTCACATTCGTAAAGCAATGTTAGGAGGGAGAGCTTTATGATGTTGGGCCCCTGGCCACTGAGATGTCACAGCCAGGCTGGGAGTCAGAGCTGCACAGCCGGCCCTGGCTGTCTGACCCTCTCCTTGTCTCCGCAGGATCAGCATTGAGGCCCGCAAGTCCCCCAAGCTGCCGCGGGCGGCCCAGGAGATCTCCCGGTCGCCCCGGTTGCCCATGCGCAAGCCCTCCATCGGCTCACCCAGCCTGGTGCGGAGAGAGTTTCCTTTGGAAGACATTACTCAGGTAGTAGCCACGTCGCTCTCCTCAAGTGGGCTCCACTGCCCTGCTCACTGCCACTGCCTGCACAGTGCCCCAGCTCTGCCCTCTGCCCCACCAGCTGCCCTGGGCCCACAGCATTCTGTCTGGAGCGTGGGTTATGCTGAGATGCATCCGTACTAAACCTGCGCTCTGCTCAGGCCGTCTGGTCCTGCAGCGACCCAGTGTCTGTGGAGAGAACCCTCTGGCACAGGCTACCATAGACTGAGGCTGCTGCCTCCCCTCCTGGCCCTCTTGCTGCCCCCTCACCCTCCAAGTGCTTCAGCCCACCTGCCCTTCCCTGCATGAGGCCTTTGTTCTTCCTGGGTCACTTGCTCCCTCTCCTTGTCCCTGTTCCTGCCCCAGGCGTCCACCTCGCCCAGCTGCGTGGTGAGGCTTCCTGCCCTGGCTTAGCCACAGTGAGCTGAGGTGTGCAGTGCCTGCTCTGTGGCCCTTCTCAGGGACGCTTTGCACACTGGTCATGGCCAGCCTGTCCCCTCTGCAGCTCTTTCTTGGGTCATAAACTGCTGGAGGAACTGTATTTTATTCACTCTTATTCTTGCCCTTGAGTATATGCACATGTGCATGTACGTGCCTTGGGTGTAGTGATAACTTCTTACAGTGTGTATGATTTAACTCAGCGAGAAAGCAGACAGTGGGTGGTTTATGGCAGAATGGCTCAATGCAGCAGATGTTCCAGGAGAAACAGCAAGATGAGAATAGATTCAGTTAGGTACTCGCTCTGGTCCTCTCTAGTCTGGGGGACAGGAGAGGTGAGGAAATGTGCCCAAATCACTTGGTGGCCTTTGAAATACATGCACACGGATGCACTGGGACACAGCCACCCTCCCTCCCAGTGCAGTGCCTGGTGGTGCCCGGCAGGCTCTAGTCATCTTCTGGTCTTACGTAGAGAGGAGTACGTAGGGAGCAAACATTCCTGGCTTTGAACACGTGTGGCTTTTTACAAAGTAATCCGTAGAAAATGGAGCAATCAGTTTGATCCTTTTTCTTTCTTTCCCCAGCACAACTATCTTGCTCAGGTCACGTCTAATATCTGGGGAACCAAATTCAAGATCGTGGGCTTGGCCGCTTTCCTGCCAACCAACCTCGGTGCAGGTAACTCCTTCCTATTCTGTCTCGGCTAAGGCCACGAAACTCAGTCTCAGCCTCCAGCAGCACCAAGTGGGAAAGGGGCTCTTACGACGCCAAGGAAGCACGTCACCGCCAAACCTTGACGTAGCCTCTGTGGTCTGACTCTAGCCACCATGATTTTGCAAAAATTAGAATTTTTTCCTGAATTGGTATTTCTGCCAGTGGCACTTAAATATTTTGATACAAACCCTGACTTATGAAAACAATCAAGGGACCAGTGGATAGTGTAACGGTTATGTCGCTGGACTCTCAGGTCGATGACCATGGTTCAAGTCCCGGCCAATGCCGGGCGCATGTGCGTGCCTGCCCAAAATCCCGAGAGGAAAATGGAGGAGAAGGGATTGTGACATGGCCATCTCTCCTGGGGGCTGATCTCTCTCTCTCTCTCTCTCTCTCTCTCTCTCTAGCTCTGGCAAGCACACATACACTATAGCAAAAATCTGTCAAAAAATCGAAATGTAGAAATGGCAGGTGTCTCTATGCACACTCACAGATTTCTAGACATTTTGACAGATTTCAGTACCTGTGTCTAGGTTCTTGAGCCAAAAGAAACTCCTTCTGAAGGAAGTGGTGGGGAAGTATTTACAGACCACATGAGACGTTGGCTGACCATTATTAGCGCAGTTCTTCCTGATAAATGTTCATAAATTTCATTTCTTGGTACATGAGACAGGAAAACTGAACCGAGGGTGAACAGAGCCGGGTCAGAGCCTGGCACCATGCCATCACCTGCACGCCTGCCCAGCCGAGCAGCAGCACCTTGTCACGTGTCTGTCAGAGACAAGCAAGACGTGGGCGCGACAGGAGAGCCTTCTTGAGGCCTTCTCCACCGGCTTGCAGAGTCGGCCCCTGCTCGTGTGGAGCCGTGGCGTCCAGCCCCCTCCGCACGGCCTCCTCGTGGTTCATGTTGTGCCCACTCTCCTCAAGGCCCGCCCAGCAGGGAGGCCTGTGGCCTCCGTCTCCAGCGTGTTCCGTGTGAACTGCCATAAGTGGGCTTTGGAGCTTCCTCAGTCCACCTGTGAGAGTTGTCCTGTAGGCACCGCCGCACGGCACAGCAGAGGGTATAGCCGAGTGATCCTGGAGCCAAACGGGTGGCCCTGGTTCTGCGTTGACAGGACCCGAGTGTGCCTGCGGTTACCTGTGACCTGCTGGCATGGGGAGGGTTGCCCCATGGCGAGACTTTGTCAAGGATCTCTGCCCATCCTCCGCCTCTCTTTTTATCTGTCTCACAAAAGAAAGAGAAATAGTAAATATAATTTTTATGAAGTTATGTCATAGGTCCTGTAAGGTAAATTTTTTTTGCATGTCAGGTGTTCAGAAGACCTAGTTCTGTGTCTGTCTCTTCCGAGATTTATTAAATGGCCCTTCTTTGGAGTTTTTCATTTCACAGTTCTTTAGCTCAAAGGAGAAGTAGGATAAAAGTAAAACTTAGACTGACTTAATAACTAGAGAGGCTGCTCCCATGGTGCAGAGTTTTAGGGAGCCAGATCCCACATGGCCAGCGTTTCGAATCCCAGCCCTAGCAGTTTGATAAAACATGCTGTGTGTGTGTGAGTGTGTGTACCCCAAATTTTGACCGTATGGAGAAATGGAGGGAAAAAGTTGCACTGTAACTACACCCCATTCAGCGTGTTTTCTCTCTCTCTTTCTCCCTTCTTCTCTCTTCCTGTCTCTGGTGAGTGCACACACACTTTATCAATTAAAAAATACTAACAATAGACCATTTTAATATATAATGCAAAAAAACTCTTAGCAATATTTTCAACAACCTGGAAGCTCTTCGATGACTGTTGAAGCCTACTGTTCTGTTACTGGTCAGTTCTCTGTTGATGGGTGTGGTTAGTTTTTAGTACCCACTACCCATGTAGTCAGCGAGCTCTGCATTAGCTGTCTGCCTGCGGTACATATTGGCAAAAGGAATCGAAGTGAGAATCAACTCAGTGGCTCTTTACTCTGCCCTCAGTGGGTCTTCACTCTGTCCTCGCTTCGAGGGCTTGGGCTGAATAGATGAACAGATAAGCCAGTCAGGATCTTTTTTTTTATTTTAAGGTTTTCGTCATAGGACGTGTGTGCTCACTAGAGAAAGACAGGGTGAGGGAAACTGAGAAATCACCCCCCGGGGGGGATGGGTGATGGCCATGCTTCAGTCCTTTCTCTTCCATCTCCTCAAGAGAGTTTGGGCATGCACGCATGATTTTTAAGCCACCAGGCCCAGCACTCAACCCCCTAGCTGGCCATGTGGGAATCCAACACAAAACCACCTTAACGACCACAGCACCTGTTAGTCTGTCATTAAGGATTCTTTTTTTTTTAAAGAGAGTTTTTTGTTTTGTTTTATTTTGCTATGGAGCATGTACACTTGCCAGAGAGACAAAGAGACAGTGAGAAATCACTCCACCCCTGCCCCCAGGGGATGGCCACACTGCAGTCCCTTCTCTTCCATTCTCCTCTCAGGATTTTGGGCACGCACGCACATGCGCCCGGCGTGAGATTTAAGCCGCCTGGTCTGGGACTCAGACTATGGTCAACTACGTGGGAGTCCAGCGACATAACCATTATGCCATCTGCTGGTCTCTGCCAGTTAGGATCTTAAAGTGAGAGCCTGTGAGTGCCCTTGGGTGCAGATTGGCCCTCTGCCCTGAGCTGAACACCTAAGACCAAAGCTCTGTCTGTTCAATGAGGTGGTCGCCCTAGTCACTGGCCTTTTTAGAAAGTGCATTTTGGTTTTATATATAGTTACTGCTGTCAAGCTGAAACAATTTTCCAGTTGATTCTACCCGAGAAAAGGGATTAACTCTTAGATTCTAGAAAGCAGGTTAGATACGGTGCCTCATTAAATGAAACTTCCAGAAATATGTGCTAGATTCAGAACTCAAAATATTCAAATGGGAAGTACAATAACAATCCTTCTTGTCCTCACCTCAGCCACCTCATGTTCTTCCCTGGAGGCAACTGATGTTAATTTCCTAATCTCTTCAGAGCCTTTTTATTTCATTGATCTTTGTCCATCTGAACAACAGAGACTAGCCCTTCCTCATAAATTCTTCTGCCATGCAGAACTGTACAGAATTTCTAGACCAAAATACTTATTCTGTCTCTCTAGTGAGCAGGAGAGATGACGACGTGAGTGAGGCCTTCCTGGGAAGTGGCCTCGGCACACACCAGTCTGAGCAGCAGCTTCACAAAGGCACCCAGGGAAGGAGGTCCCCTGTGCTACGGTGACACTGGCTGGCCAGCACTGGTCTGTGAAGGGACAGCTATGGACTTGTGACTTCACGCATCTTAACACAAAATAATAAATAAGAACCTCTGTACTTAAATTTCTCACAGGAAAGGGTATTAAACAAAAAAGGAGATAGCCATTTTATCCCGATTTTATCCTACTATGAAAATTAAATTCAGATTCAGTATTTTAAAATTTATTTTGTCTCCTCTAAATATTTTAGTTGTAATATAGGCCTTCTCTTAAATGACCCTGTCAAATTACATCTTGGGGTCCAGAAAAAAATGTATGTGCAAGTTTTCTATAAATCTTATCTTGATGAGTAGATTGAAGTTGAAAGTCAATACAATAAGGAATAAATAAGACAGCGTTGTATTCCTCAGAGGCACCCTGTCGCCCCTCACCTCGCAGTCAGTTTCAGACAGCTCTCTGAACACCCCAGGTTCTTGAGCTCAGCTCTTAGTTTTCTCAGTTGATTACAAATGAGGTTTTTTGATTATTTGTTTTTTATTTTTAACTTTATTTTATTTATTTATTTACTTATTTTAATTTGACCAGAGTAGGACAGAGAGAGGGGGCAGGGGGGAGTGAGAAAGCAAGCTGCCAAGCCCAGGACTTAAATAGTGGTCAGCCATGTGGGAGTCCAGTACCCTTAACCATGCCACTTGCTGACCTCACAAATAAGGTTTTTGAAAACTGTATCTGTGATACCTGACTCATTCTAGAATAGGATTTAAGTCTAACACGTGTTTTTAGCATTTGAAATTTGCGGATGTGTAGACAAGCCACGGCAGAGCGGTCCAAGCTAGACCAAGAATGAGCCACCACTGATGCCCAGATGGGCTGGTGTGGCCACCGGGCACCAAGTCACACCGAGGCACCGCTCGCCTCTTGGCCCTGCCTGTGCAGATCTGTCCTCTGGTGGCGGGAGAGCCACAGCCCTCGATCTCTCAGCTGCCACTTAGCTCCCTGCCGGGTGTCTCCATTGACCACGTCTTGTTCCCCCCAGTCATCTATAAAACCAGCCTCCTGCACCTCCAGCCGCGGCAGATGACCATTTACCTCCCAGAAGTTCGGAAGATTTCCATGGACTACATTAACCTGCCCGTCTTCAACCCCAACGTTTTCAGTGAAGATGAAGATGATTTACCAGGTGTGTTGACATACATTGGCTGGCTTGTCGCAGCCGCTCCCTCTCTCGGTGGGCTGTGCTGTGGGCCGGAGTGGGAAGCTGTCCAGGATTGTCGCTTGCATCCGACTGCCTTGGTTCGGAACGTTGGTAGAGATGGTGGCTCATCTCAGGAGGAAGGGCACAGGTCGGCCCGTTTGGTAAGGAGAAGATGCTCAGAGAGCACTTGTCACATCTGTTTACTTTCCCAGTCACCAGCGTAGCCAGGCCCTGTGCAGGTAAGTTAGCCAGACTAGTAGGGCTAAGTCCGGTCCGCCCTGAAACCTGGTGCCGTTGATGGAGGCTGGCCTCCTCAGTGCCACGTAGAGTGCTTCCGCCACGTCCCCATGTTGCCCACACGCCCGTCTCCAGGACACAGCTCCCATGGGCAGTGCCTGTCTCAGTGCATGGAGGCCCGGCCTGTGTGAGCCTCCCCACATACTCTCAGAAACTGTCAGGCATCTACAGCCTGGGCAGTTAACTTAAGTGTCTCCTAGTAGGGGATTCCTGAAAGGAGCCTATTTTGGGTCAACAAAATAGTTTTTTTCTTTTTTTCTTTTTTTAAGAGAGATTTTTGCTATAGGGCATGTGTGCTTGCCAGAGAGACAGAAAGAGAGAAATCACCCTGCAGGTAGAATGGCCATGCTATAGTCCCTTCACTCTTCTCTCAGGATTTTGGGCATGCATACACATGTGCCCAGAGTGAGTTTAAGCCACCAGGTCCAGGACTCAAACCGTGATCGGCCCTGTGAGAGTCCAGAGACGTAACTGTTACACCCTCCACTGGTCCCAATAGAATAATTTCTAATTAATCTGCCAATTAGTTGGATGTAACTGTTGTCAGTTGCACAGAATACTTGAAAAGCACTAGAAGTCCACCTGTAGCCTTATGGAGAGTGGAGCCTCTCTGCTTCCAAACAGTGCTCGGAAAGCCATTAGTCTCTGAGCCAGAGGAACCCGGACACGGGCCGTGACATCCAGTCTGAGTGTGCATGACCACTGGGCTCGGGTCCGAGCACCGGGACATGGAAGGGTGCACGTTCCTGCCCAGGCTTCCCTGAACTTGGGGAGTGTTTACCTCCTCTCAGCCCAGGCTCCTTCCCTGAAGAGCTGTTTCTCCTGTCCTTCCGCCACAGCCATCTCTGGTTCTCTCATGCCCCTCCTGCATAGGTGGGGCAAGCCTTCTAGAAGAGCGGGGTCCCTGGAGGCCAGGCTTTGCAGTCACATAGTCATTGCAGTTTGGGAAAGCCTCATGCACCTGCACTTTACAACTCACCTCTGCAGTTTCAGCCTTGGATTGAGGGGCGTCTCCGACACTTCCCCTCAACACCCTCCCTTTCTCCCCTGTGTGGCTCACCCAGCTCTCTCATACTCAGCTGCTGTGGCTGTGGCTCCGGCTCCCGCCTGTGGCTCCCTGTGGGAGGGCTCCCATTAGTGATGGCAACTCAACAGCCTTTCCTCCTGTGGAGGAGAGGTGTCCGCCATCAGTATTCCATGCAGACAGGAGAATGCCTGGGAGAGGGGTCCGAACGGGACTGGTAGGCAGCTGCAGACAGGACCCAGCTCTGCAGCCAGGGCATGGTCAGGTCTCTTAGAAGACCCCAGGGAAAGGGGCATCATTCTGCAGTTCTGCTGAAAGGTCAGCTGCCCTTTAAAACTAGCCTGAGGAAGAACTAGCTGCCACAGGGTACCTCGCTCTGTGCCTCAGGCTTCTGCACCAGGGCCACTTTTCTCCAAAGGAGACAACCACACAGAGGGCATTCAAACCTTGCCTTGCTGAGGTCCTATCTGCCTGCCCTTATGTCCGCTATTCAAATGCGAGCCCTGTGAAATTCAAGGCTTACTCCACTCCGTTAGAAATGCTAAGGAGCAGATATGGACCAGTCCTTCACCTGGTATGCAGATTTGCTGGGGACTCTTTTCCAGTGGTTTCTGTACTACATTTTACATGTTCCTATTCACAACAACTTACGTCTGCACAGATTTCAGAAACACGGCCTTTACGTGAACTTCTGTGCTGACCTTAATTGCATGGTTGCAGATCAGCCTCCACAGGAGCCTAGGCATTAGGAGCCCTCAGGGGTTTCACACAGGGCCACTGCTCTCTTCTCGCATAAGAAGCTGTGTTTTATGAATCTCTCAGGAAACAGCGTGGAGTATTTAATTGCTTGTGGTGTTACCCACCAGGCTGACTCACGCGTGATGCCTGAGTAGCTCGGGCAGTGTCCTTGGCTGATGGACAAAGCTGAAAAACGGTGTGGCCCGTGGGAACAGCCCTGCTTTCCCCAGCAAACTCGTCTTATCTCTAGCAGTTCATTTCTACTCAGGACTGGATGAGTCCAGATGTGCTGCTTATTCTGACCCAGTTTCATGGCACTGTTTTGCAAGCGGTTCCCTTTTCTGATTTCCTCCCAGTGACAGGAACACCTGGCGTCCCTGAGAACAACCCGCCCTGTACCGTGAACATCCCTATAGCCCCGATCCACAGCTCGGCTCAAGCTATGTCCCCCACGCAGAGCATAGGGCTGGTACAGTCCCTGCTGGCCAATCAGAATGTGCAGCTGGATGTCCTGACCAATCAGACGACAGCCATGGGGGCAGAACATGCAGGTGACGGTGCCACTCAGTACCCAGTCTCCAGCCGGTACTCCAGCCCCGGACAGGTGATTTTCGGAGGTGTGGAAATGGGCCGCATCCTCCCAAATCCCCCTCCATTGTCCTTGCCACCCCCGCCACCACCACCCCAGGGGGCCATGCAGCTGTCCATGGTGGACCATGGAGACCGGGACCACGAGCACCTGCAGAAGTCCACCAAGATCCTGCGGCCCGTGCCTCCGCTGGTGGCTGAGGGGGACTCGGTGGTCTTTAGCGCCCCCCAGGAGGTCCAGGTGACGAAGATGAACCCTCCTCCCCCCTACCCAGGCACCATCCCCGCCCCCCCCACCACGGCGGCGCCCCCACCCCCTCTGCCTCCACCACAGCCTCCCGTAGACGTGTGCTTGAAGAAGGGCGACTTCTCGCTCTACCCCACGGCGGCCCATTACCAGACCCCCCTGGGCTATGAGCGGATCACCACCTTCGACAGCAGTGGCAACGTGGAAGAGGTGTGCCGGCCTCGGACGCGGATGCTCTGCTCCCAGAACACCTACACACTCCCTGGCCCGGGCAGCTCGGCTACCCTGAGGCTCACAGCCACTGAGAAGAAGGTCCCCCAGCCCTGCACCAGTGCCACCCTGAACCGCCTGACGGTCCCTCGCTACTCCATTCCCACTGGAGACCCACCCCCATACCCCGAAATTGCCAGCCAGCTGGCCCAGGGGCGAGGCCCTGTCCAGAGACCGGACAACAGCCTCATCCATGCCACCCTGCGCAGGAACAACCGCGAGGCCGCCCTCAAGATGGCCCAGCTGGCCGACAGCCCGCGGGCCCCTCTGCCACCCCCAGCCAAGCCCAAGGGCGGCCCCCGGGCA